GATCATGACCAACTTCAAGATGAAAAGGCAATAGCACAAGGATTGATGGTGAAACATTTTCTAAAGATGTGCCATTTGTGGACTATAGATTCTTATACCAAAGATAGATTTACCGATGCTCGAGAAAAATTGAAGACGGACAGCCACAATGTTGAGGAAACGTTAAAAGTTTGCTGCCAAGATCCAAACATCGTCGAGTTGTTAGTAAATAGTGATATTTACAAGTCTTCATCCCCGTTCTTTTACCGTTTCTGCCGGTATCTTCTTCCGCAAATTATTTTGAGGAATTTTCAGGAATCTTGTATTAATCTGGCGAAAACTCGAAAGCAACTAACCATTGCGATCACATTTCAATGTCTGGTAGCAGGTCAAGAAGGTCGTAAATCTGCATGGAAATCTACTGAATATATTGACATGATGGAGGCGATCAAAGATGCTTTAGACCAAAATAAAGCGGTGCTGAAAGAGGATAGGTCCGTATATAGCTATTGTTACTATTTTTATGCCCGATTTCATTCTAGCCAAGCAAATATTACACCATATCCTGATCTAGAGGAAGATGACCTTGCGCCTTTACCTGAAAACAACGATCGAAGCCCAATGAAGAATGCTGAAGAGACACTTATTTTAATCCAGCGTGCACGTTTGAACAAGAAACGTGCAACGAAAGTGTTTCGTTCAGATAAAGAAAAGTACGAGGATTACATGAATTGTGCAAAATCATTTTATGACCAAGCTTTGTCGACAGCGAAAGAGTTCTTGGGCGATCATGAAATAACGTGTATTTGTTATAAATTGTTAGGAGACTTATACTTACACTTGCGGAAGAACGATGAGGCAATGGGATATTATTCTGATGCAATAAAACTGAGGAAGAAACTACAACTTGATTCTAACGAGGCTTTTGTGTACTTGCTCAAGAATTATGGGTTATGTTTACGTTTTTTTTGCCGCTTTGAAGCGTCAGTGGAAAATTTAAAAGAGGCATGTGACATAGCTGATAAGCTCGCTGAGAAGCACACACCTTGTAGAGCATATGTGTTATATCAGTTGGCAAACACCTATCGTGCCTGGAAACCTGATTGCCAAGAATCCGCGAAATACGCTAAAGAGGCAAAGGAGATGCAAGTGTTGTTGGACCCACGCAAGGTAAAAACATTGGAAGATATTATAAAAACGGCAGAAGAATGCATGAAAAAAGAAAACCACATCAGGTCATTACAAAATATTGTGAATGTTATTAGAACTGATCGACAGCTCCAACAAAACAGCAGCATACCCGACAAACCACTGACATTTGTTGGGCGTGGGGCCGAAGTAAATAAAATTATTTATTCCTTGGTGGAGAACGGCTGTGGAATTGTCTCGATTGTTGGTGGACCAGGATTTGGCAAAAGCACTGTTGCAGTTGAAGTTTCCCATCATTTAAGCAACAAGCATGACATCGTCGTTATTTTCTCATTTCTATCAAATGTTTCAACTGTGCCTGAAGTTCTTCTACGTCTCTGTCTTGACGTTGGCGTTAACCCTGGAGAAGATCCTGAATCAGCGTTGATGTTTTGGTTGAACAATATTAAGAAAAAAGTTCTCCTTGTTATGGACAACATCGAGCAAATGCTTGAAGAAGAAGTGAGATCCGAATTTACTGAGTTAGTGGTCACGCTCCGCAAGAATTCACAGCAACAGTTGCAGATCTTAACAACGACAAGAACCGAATTCTCAATTCCTGAACAAACCACCGAAAACGTTCAATTAGGAGAGTTGGATGAAAAATCTAGTGTCGAACTTTTGAGAAAGTGCTGTCTTAATACAGAAGTAAAAGATAGTTACTTGTGTGACTTGGCTAACCTGTGTGGTTTTATTCCCCTGGCTTTGTGTATCGCTGGACCTCGAATTGCTGATCTTGATGATCCTTTTGAGTTGATTCATTGGCTAAAAGAGAAGCCTGTGAAAACTTTGCTGACCTCTGACAAAAGTCAGTGTGTCCGAAAAGCCATCGAGTTCTCTTTCCAGCAGTTGAATGATGATGATAGGAAAGCGTTGGCTCGCCTTTCGTTGTTCAATGGAAATTTCCAAAGGAAGTCTGCCGAAGAGGTAATTGAGAGAGATGAGTTGGTCACTCAAGATTTCTTAGAGCAGCTCGTTGCTCGAAGTTTAATGCAGAGAAGCAGTGACAATCGCTTCGTGATTCATTCACTTATTCGACGCTTTTTGGCCAATCATCATCATCATCATCTTCAAGATGAAAAGATTATAGCACAAGAATTGATGGTGAAGCATTTTCTGAAGATGTGTCATTCTTTAACCATGGATTCTTTTTCCAAAAATGGATTTACTGATGCCAGAGAGTTACTGAAGACGGACAGTCACAATGTTGAGGAAACGTTAAAAGTCTGCTGCCAAGATCAAGCAACAAACCTGAATCCAAACATCGTTGAGTTGTTAGTAAGTAGTGATATTTACAAGTCTTCATCCAGATTCTTTTGCCGTTTTTGCCGGGATCTTCTTTCACAAATTATTTTGAGGAATTTTCAGGAATATTGTATTAATCTGGCGAAAATTCGAAAGCAACTAACCATTGAGATCACATTTCGTTGTTTGGTAGCAGATCAAGAAGGTCATAAATCTGCATGGAAATCTACTGAATATATCGACATGATGGAGGCGATCAAGGATGTTTTAGACCAAAATAAAGCGGTGCTGAAAAAGGATCGGTCATTATATAGCTATTGTTACTATTTTTATGCCCAATTTCATTCTAACCAATCAAATATTACACCATGTCCTGATCTCGAGGGAGATGACCTTGCCCCTTTACCTGAAAACAACGATCGAAGCCCAATGGAGAATGCTGAAGAGACACTTATTTTAATCCAACGTGCACAATTGAACAAGAAACGTGCAATGAAAGTATTTCGTTCAGATAAAGAAAAGTACGAGGATTACATGAACTGTGCAAAGTCATGTTCCAGTCAAGCTTTGTCGACATCTCAAGAGTTGTTGGGCGATCATGAATTAACGTGTATTTCTTATAAAGTATTAGGAGACCTGTACTCACTCTGGCGGAAAAACAATGAGGCGTTGCCGTATTATTCCGATGCCATAAAACTGAGCAAGATACTAAAACTTGATTCCAACGAGCCTTTCGTGTACTTGCTAAAGAGTTATGGGTCATGCTTGTCTTTTCTTCGTCACTTTGATGAATCGGTGGAAATATTAGACGAAGCTCGCGACATAGCTGACAAACGCGCTCAGAAGCACTCCCCTTGTAGAGCCAATGTCTATTGTGCGTTGGCAGGAACGTATCGTGCCTGGAAACCTGATTGCAAAGAAGCCGCGAAATATGCTAGTGCAGCAGTCGAGATGGGAGAGTCGTTAAACTCACGCAGCGTAAAAACAATGAAAGACATTATTAAAACAGCAGAAGAACACATGGAGTGAGAGAATGCTCAACAATGTTTGGACGTCAATTCCTTTTTTGAAAGTAACATTGACTGGCTTTTGTAACACTGCTCCAAGAATTATGACCAGTTTATTTTATTTTTTTTATACATAAGCGTCACTAATTCGGTTACCTCATCAATGATCAGATATGACAGCAGCTTTCTAGTTTGCATGAGGTAAACGTCGAATGGAAACTGGTTTAGATAAATCATATGACAATTTACTGAAGTCTTTTTTCACAGACCAAAAAAGATTTCGTAACAAAATCAACCGCCTAATTGTAATGCCATGAAGGGTGAATGGAGCTGTTTTTCCTTCGAAGAATATTCGAACAATAACGGTCTATCTATTGTAATGGTACCTCTAGAACATTTTTCAGTACGAGCCTCTGACTCCTTTCCTCATAGAAGACTCTTTAATCTGACTGACGTCCTTAGCTATAATACGGATATTGCCAAGTGGTTTGTAATCCAGAGAATTGTACTGCTTTTCATCGTGATTTAACTTCAATGTGAAAATGATCTGAGTATTATTTAACTGCGACAAATGTGAAATTTAAGAGTATATGGAAAAGGACGCACTCCCCCACCGTTAATCCCTACACCATTACCCATGCACCTGCTGTTCCGGTTCGCTCATACAAAAATTTCGTGATCGTAGTTACAATACCTGGAACACTCGTGTTTTTTTCTGTTGTTGCTAAAGCCAACATGACTCTCTGGTTTCTCATATGGGCATTTAGGCAGTTTCTACATTCCACCTTCTTACAGAAGAGTTCTGGACGTGTTACTAACTGTTGCTCTCTAACCAAAGTAACGCTTGTAATTTCTCAATTCTTCAGTCATGCAAAACTGACGTGAAATTATTGAAGAGCATACAGACTGAAGCGATCTACCCGTTTAATTTTCAATTGAAGCAAATATCCTGATGCCAACCACAGCAGAAGTTCGCCTTGGTTTCTCTGAGTGTCGCGATATATAAATTGTCTTCAAATATTGAAATGATACATTTAATCTGCAGCTCGAAAAATACATCCAAATCTTAAGTGGCAGAGCCACGAGCTATACCGAAAGTTTGGACCCATATTCAGTACTAGTTTATTGTTGTCGTACATCATTATTTAGAGACTAATTCTTTAATCGCATTGTGCAACTATGGATCGAACAATCTGCCGATTGAAATCCGTAAATCAGTTACTTTGAAACCAGTTCCCTTGAAACCCCCAATATATATTTCAATCAGTTAAATAACATTTTTTATAATAACTGACTAATCACCTGGAAGGCAATATGTCCTTATTGTAGGTCTACTGACAAACCTCTCTGCTGTTGAGAGTTGAGAAATGACACTACTTAGCATTAGGTTTCCTGTTTCTCGCCCTTGATTTTTAATATTTAGCCGCATGATTTGGCCATTAATATTATTACCATCTTTCAACATTCGATATCAAGAAAGGTAACATCGCCTTTGGTAAAGGTTCATGAATTTTCAGATGATTGAAAAGTACAACTCTAAAGCATAGTATACGAAAAAAAACACGATGCTTTTAAAGGAAATGGTTAAATCTGTCATTGAATTAGCACCACAGGAAACGCCAGATTAGACGCACATGCACGTAATTTTTCAGTTAACTCCAAATCAGCCGTAGCCTATGTATGAAAATGAGAAGAAATGTATGTGTGACCAATCAGCAATTGGAGACATACAACAAAAATTTACACCGTCGAAGTACCCAAAGACAATGGCTTGGATAATGGATAAATGCAATGATATCGTTTTCATTCGTAAAATCTGCTTTCCTTTCCCTTCAAGGGGCGAGAAGATTAATTAATAAAGAAACAATATGTTGCGAAAGAAACAGACAAGTTAATTTATTTGGCAGACAGGGAAATTGTAAGAACACGTACGTGACAATTTTCCAAATGACAATTTTAAACACTAATATAGATGAAAAATTTTAAATAAAGATTTTTTAATCGTATTTCCTCGGCTATCGACTCATATACAACTCTAGCTCATGTGTAATTTTTACGAATCTCAAGTCAAGTGGAAATATTCGATTTTTTTTTAATTTCTCCAATCATTCCATTTAGTGTTCCTACAAAGGAAGAAATACTAAGATCTGCTGCAATTCGTACGATTTTTAGAAAATCTTGATTTCGCGGGTTATGAGTTAATTTCCATGCAGTGGTGCCTAAATTACTTTGAATTTGTACTCGAGTAAAAGTAGAAGTAATAACAATAAAACGACTCGAGTAAGAGTAAAAAGTACTGGAGGCAAAACGTACTTAAGTAAAAAGTGCAAAGTATCTTTAAAAAATACTTGAAGTACAAAGTAAAAGTAAAAGTACTATTGTCTTTAGTGTGTAGGGGGGGGGG